TCCATCGCTCCGGAGACGCTCCATCATTCACAGGCGCTCCATCACTCTGGAGGTGCTCCATCATTCACAGGAGCTCCATCGCTCCGGGGACACTCCATCATTCACAGGCACTCCATCGCTCCAGAGGTGCCCCATCATTCACAGGCGCTCCATCGCTCTGGAGGTGCCCCATCATTCTCAGGCGCTCCATTGCTCCGGAGGTGCTCCATCATTCACAGGCGCTCCATCGCTCCGGAGGTGCCCCATCATTCACAGGCGCTCCATCGCTCCGGAGATGCTCCAGCACTCATGAGGCAACCCTTCAGCGCTCGTGACATGCAAGGCAACTCTTCAGTGCTCGTGACACACTCCATCGCTCATGAGATGGCGCTCCGTTGTTTGTGAGATGCTGCACCACTTGTGAAACAATGCTCCACTCAAGCTTGTGAGATGCTCCAGCACTTGTGACACAGCGCTTCAGCTCTCATAACGTGCTCCATTGTTTGTGAGCCAGCACTGCACCGCTTGTGAAGCAATGCTCCACCGCTTGTGAGATGCTCCGGCACTCATGAGACAACACTCCATCACTCGCGAGGTGCTCCATCACTTGCCAGATGCTCCACCACTCATGAAACAACGCTCCGCCACTTGCGAGATGCTCCACCACTCCTCGCAGGCATTCCCACGATCACCGTGGGGAAGGGACAAGGGGCTACGTGGCCCTGCCGAGGGATGACGTGCTTGAGGTGCAGGCGTGGGCAGCCCCCCGGGATGCCGTTTGCGGAGCAGCTGGTGCAGACAGACGGTGCTTCCTGGCCGCCTGCTGCACCGGGGGATGGCAGGGCGGGCTCTGGGCACTGATATATGTTTAGGACGATCTGAGCGATAACAAAGTTTTTCATCTGGCTGCCTGCAGCTCCCGCTGCACCGCCCCTGCGGCTGCGGGGAGGGGTATGGCCCTCGCAGGTCCCCTGGGTGCCGTGGGAAGCGCTGGCTCCTCAGCTGTGCAGAGAGGAGTCGCAGACGCCGCTGGGACCGCTGGCGAGGCACGGTTGCACTCAGCATGGGGCTCCGGCTCCCGCTGCGCCGGAGCGCCAGCTTCACCCCTGACCACCCTGCCCTCATGGAGATGCCCGGCCCCACCACCCTGAAGATGGAAGCAAACGTCCTCGTTATGGGAGCAGACAACGTGGGGAAATCAGGTAAGAACTGACCGTGAGCTGGAAGCAGGGGGTTCCCAGGCAGAGAGACCCATTTCTTGCCCCCAAAGAAGGCTGAAAACTGCAGCAGTGTCTGGAGAACAAGCTAGAGAGGGGGACCCCGTGGAGCAAGCTGGAGAGATGGGGCTGAGCTTTCAGGTGTGGTGGGGATTCGAGGCGGGGAAGCTGAGCGCAGCCTGGCAGGCAGCGGGCGAGCGACAGGGGAAGGTATTTTCCGCTGAGCTGCAGTTTGCTGATGCTCTGGTTCGTGCTGTGCCTCTGCTCTGCTCGCAGACCTGCCGAGGGCTGGAAAACTGGGGATTGTTCCTGCTCGCAGGATTTTACAGGGGGATGGTGCCTGACTCTGCTCTGTATTTAAAAGGGAAAATCCTTCAGGCTTAGGGTTATTGTGATGATTCTTTTTCTCCCCTCTGCAGCTCTGACTGTGCGTTTCCTCACCCGGCGCTTTATTGGGGAGTACGGAGACATGGGTGAGTGCCAGGCCAGGGCCAGGCTGGTTCCTGTTAGGGACTGGGGTCAGGAGGTGAGCCTGCTTCTGCCTGTGGGATTTCATTGCTTCCCATCCTCTCCTGCCTTTCTCCAGAGCCTTTGCCTGCTCCTAGAGGCCTCAGTTGTTCAGTGACCCATCTCTTTGTTCCACAACTGCTTCTCTGGGGTGCAAAAGGTCCTGGTGGCACCAGTGTGGCTGGACTGAACGCTGGGGTGGAGGCAGGCTGGGGTGGTCGTGGCCCTGAAGGCCACCATGCTCCACGTGGTTGTTGCTGGACAAAAAGAGCCCCCAGACCTTGCCTTGGAGAGCACAGTCTCCCAGGGTGGCTGTGACAGGCTTGTCCCCAGGAGGAGAAGGCCTGGGTTGAGGGAGCTGTCTCTTGGGTCTGTGAAGATGATAATTTTTATTCTCATTTTTTGGCAGAATTTATCTATAGCCACAACCTGACCGTGGACGGCCGAGAGATTCTCTTCCACATCTGGGATGTCCCCAATTCCCAGGTGAGAGGGCTCCTCTCCCATTGCTTATTTTCATCCCGGGGAGAAAAAAACCCCTCTATTAAAAGTTACACGGCAGGGAGCCATAGGTACAGGCAAAACTCTCATGCCAGATGGTTTGTAGGCAACTAAACCCTTCTTGCCTGCAGAGCACAGGGCAGCAGCGTTGCTGGTAGCCCATGGTCCTCTGACTGAGGATGTTGGGGCTAAAGCACTGATGTTATCAGCCCGGATTGTGCACAGGACTGTGCTGACAAAGTGGCAGTGCCGCTCTGAGGTCCCTAGGCTGTTATCACCTACAGCCTGCAGTGCTTGCCAGCTGGGTGATGAGGTGAGGACAGCAATGCTGAAGCCCAAATCGTGTCCCCTTGGTGAGGTCTGCCAGGCCCTGCTCTGTGTTTCTTGGTACTCCTCTTTCTCTCTGCTCATTAGCTGCTCCGGTCCCAACAGGCTCTGGATCTCCATGCCCTGTGCTAACAGGCAGGCATGGAGGGAAGGAGCCGAGTAAAGAAACCTTCCTTTTCTCTTTCCCCAGGAGCAGGCAGAGGAGGGCTCCTCAGAGGAGAAGCGAATCCAGTGGGCAGACAGCTTTGTCCTAGTCTACAGCATCTGTGACCGTGCCAGCTTCAATATCTTACCCCTCAAAATCCAGTTCATCAAGGCGGCCAAGGAGGGGCAGAGCCAGGAGAAGGTGCCCATCGTCATTGTGGGCAACAAACGTGACCTGCACCACCAACGGGTGGTGTCCAGTGAGGAGGGTCGGCTCCTGGCCCTCTCTTTAGATTGTGGTTTCTACGAGGTCTCTGCAGCTGAGGCTTATCACGGGGCCCTCATGGTCTTCCATGGGCTGGCCGAACGCATCCCTGACACCAAACTGGCACTGAAAAAGGGTACGGGGATCCGTGGCATCGTCAAGACCATGTCAGCTGTGTTTGCCCGTAAGCGAACGGATTCGCTCTGAGATATATCCTGGGTGTTGCTTCTCTCCACACTGCCAGCTGGACTGAGCCTCCTCCCTGGGTGCCCATGGAGATGGTGTGTGCTTCCATAAGTACGGTGGGTTCCTTGCTGCCCTCCTAACCTCAGGGTCTGGGTCTCCTGCCATACATGGCCACTGCAGCTGAGGACTGTAGTGCCTTCCTCTGCTCCCTCCTGTAGAGCTCTTGGCTCTGTGGTGGAACAGGTAGCGGGGCAAGGTCTCTACTCTTTGCTATAGAAGACTTTTAGGTGCCTCCCGCTTTCTCCTTCCGTCCTCTAATGCTGGAAACCACCAGGTGATCTTGCCACTGCTCCAGGCAGCATCATCCCCAGCGCCTTCGGTGGGAGCTGCCCGGGCTGTCAGTGAGCAGGGAGGGCACGCTGCTTCTGCATGGCCACCCAGCTCAGTGTCACTCCCTCCTACCGTGTTTAATGCTCATCGGGGTCCTCTCTGGTAACCCTGGAGCACCCACGAGCTGGTAATGTGGGGGTTTCTCCACCAGGGAGCACCAGCAGTTCCCATGTGTGCATCACCGTGTCCGAGTGTCCCAGAGCCTGTGGCACCCACTGGCCCCCGAGGACCTCGGTTAGGTCCCCATCCCACCCACTTTGCTTTTGAGCCATCCTGCTTGCGCTCCTCTCTCCCGCAGCCTTTCAGCGACAGTAGCAGTTTCCCCTGTGCAAGCACCGTATGGGCTGTGCCTGGGAAAAACCAGGCACGTGGCTCGTTCCCAGGATGGGGAATCGTACCATGCACCTTCCCAGGCTGCTCCTTCTGTAAGGCTGACTGTCCCTGGGGAGGAAGGGAGGTGGGGAAAGGGGTCTCCACGCTCATCGCCGAACCCTCCTGCTGCTGGGAGGTTTTTTCCCTGCCTCTCCCCAAAGCCTTCCTCGGTGTGCCTGGGAAAGCAGCGTGTTGGGTTTGTGTGTGCAGTACGGACAGTGATTGCTCTCCTCTGTTCTGGAAATGCAATAAATCGTCTTTGGCAGGAAGCCCCCAGCTCCTCATGGCTGTGAATTTGTACTCGGGGCATGGGAAGACACACGTACTGTGCTGAGTCCGAACCCCCAGCATCCCCGCAGCAGCAGCTCAAGGATGAGTTTCCCATACCTGCTCCCTTGGCCCTGGGCTGGGTGTCTTGCCCTGTGCTGCCCCCTCATTTTGGTGTCTCGCTCCTGTAAAGCAGCCAAGCGGATGGGGTGAGCAGCAGGTCAGGAAGGTTTATTATTGCAGTGGATACAACAAGGTGTTGCGGGAAGCCAGGCAGTCCTGCGGGAAAGAGGGGCTCCAGGAGCTCCACCTGTTCTCACCGGTCTTCCTGACCCCACCGTCCATCCCGCCATCAGCTGGGGGTGGATGCCCAGGGCTTTCCGACTCATGAGTCCTGCTGGTCGGTGGGGACCTTCAGCTCCTCCATGGAGGAGCAATCTGTGGCCAGGGATGGGTCCTGTGAGGTGGCATGGAGGGAGGAAGGATGGGGAACGAGGCTTGCTGTGGTGATGTTTGATGGCTCTGCTGTCCTCCCTCTGTCTCAGCACTGTTCTCAATGCATAGCCCATCTAAGTCCATGCTGTCTGCTCATCAGTGACCAGGGTGGCCCAGTGCCAGGCCTGGCTGGTCCCTTTTTCTCTTTTCTGGTCTCACAACTCTTTCTGCATCTCCTTTGCCTCTCTGGTCCCCTCTGGTCTCACCTCCCCTACCTTCTCCTTCCACCAACAGAGCTTTTGGCTGCCTTTATTCCCCCATCCTGGCCCCAATGCACTCCAGAAGGAGAAGACATCCCATGGCATGTCTACCACTTTGAGCTCCTGTCCCGGTGCAGGGGTGCATGTGGGCGGTTGGTGGGGGCCCAGGCAAAGCGTGCTGGGGGGCAATTAGAGGGAGGCCGGGATGCGCTTGTCCTCCCCACTGGCTCAGTCCTTCTTGAAGGCAGGGCTGTAGAGGTTGGTGTAGTAAGCCCGGCTGTACATAGCCTCGGGACTAAAGCGGTAGGAGCCCTCGCTCACCCGCCTGTTGTAGGGCGCGAAGGCGGATTTCCGCGGGAGGGGGCACTCGGGCTCGAAGGCAGGGCTGCGGTAGAGGTTGTGCCGCAGAAAGAGGGGGTCCTCAAGCCCCAGGAAGGAGAGGGGGTGATGGCCGCGGTACAGTCGCCAGTCACCCCTCAGCTGGGATTTCTCCTCTGCAGAGGGGGCGGCAGGCTTGGCGTCCTCCTCCTTCTGCTCTGTCTCTGGGCTGGTTTTGTTGCCCCCCGCTGCCTCCTCTTCCTTCACCGACTGCCTGCGGAGCTGAGAGATGGGGTGAGCGCCCCGCTGGGCTGCACCTGCCTGTCAGCTCCGCTCTCCCTCTGCTCCACAGCCCCCACCCCTGCAAAACCAGGGGATCCTCGGGACAGGCCAGTTTGCCCCCAGAGGGGTCCCCAGCAGAGAGGAGTGCGTGGCTGCAGCCCCCAAGCAGCTGCGGTGGGGAAATGGTGCCAGGGGAGCAGCGGGATGGGGGGAAGGAGGGGACTCATTCTCAGCCCGAACTTTCACCTTCCCGGGAATTTGTGGTCACACCCTGGCTTGACCATGAACCACGTGAAGGTGCCACCACCAGCTGACTTGCCAGCACTGTGGGGGGGACTCGCTGTCACGGCTTGGGGGATGCTCAGGAGGAGGGTGGGACTGAGGTGTCCCAACAGCACCCCATCTCCCCACTCTGGCACCTCCTGGCACTGCCCAGTGCTATGGGGTGCTCATGGGAGGAAGTTGGGCAAAATGGGTTTTGCTGGAGATGGATGGGACCTGGCTGGGGACAAACTCACCGGCACGTAGCTGTACAGAGTGCCCAGCAGATGCTTGGGGGCACTGACAAGGGTCCCCCCGAGAGCATCCACTGTCTCCATGGCCTTGGACAGCCTGCGGGGGGTGAAGAGGATCAATCCCTCTGCCGCATCCCAGGCCACGGCCGGGACCTTCTTCACGCTGGAGATGCCGGAGGCGCAGGCAGTTTGCAGGTTGTGAGCCACGCTGCCCACCAGCCCAGGGCCATCCCCTGCCTGCCGAGAGAAACCAGCTCAGCCTCTGGCCCCGGCCCCACCAGCCCCTCTGGGCAGGACTGGGGTGGCCCTGGGGTCCCCATCCCCTCCGCAGCTCCAAGCCTCAGTGCTTTTCGTTCACTGCTTCGCAAAAGCCACCGCTGCCCTTTGCAGCAGGACCAGTCCCTGCTCTCCTCCCCGCCAGCTCCCCCCACTCCCAGGCCCCTGGGGACCCCCTGCCCCGGCTGCGCTTCCGCTGCAGGCAGAGGCAAAGGGCAGTGACCCCGACCTGCTGCTTCCCATCCCCGCGTCCCAGCGGAGCCACGGCTGGGGACTGTTCCCAGCCCCGCTGCCAACCCCCCCCTCACCTCCTCCCAGCTGCAGTTCAGGGGTCCGCAGGGATGGGGGCCTGGTCCCCAAGGGCATGGGGGGAACACCCCCCATGCTGGCATGGGCCATGGGCAGGAGGATGCTTTGGGGCGCTCCCGGCTCACTGCCCCCCTTTTTTCCATACCTCCTTGGTGTGGCTGTTGTCTTTCTTCCCCGCCTTCTCCTGCTTCTGCTCCGGCACCTTGCTCTGCCGCCGGCTCAGCCAGCCGGCTGCCATGCTCTGCCCATCACCCTGGACCCGCGGCGCCTCGGGCACGCTCGGCTTGGCCAGGCTGCCCTGGAAGGCAAGCAGAAAGCCACTGCTCGGGGGGGCTGGCAGGTCCCATCCACCCCATCCTGTTTAGCCTGAGGATTTCACGGGGGCCCTGGGGTGCGCAGTGGGCAGAGGGGTTCATTTACTCATGTGAGAAGAAATCCCAAGGGCAGCTGGGAGCTCCGGGATTTTGGCACAGGCCCGGGAAGGGTTCTCACTGCAGTGCTGGGTGGGACAGGAGAGGTGCCTCCTTCTCCCCCTCCTCTCCAGGCCTCGGGGGGCACTTTTTGCTTTAGGGAGGATGTTATGGCAAGGCCATAAATCAATAATATACATTGGGAGCCAGCTAAAAATAACTCATCCTGCTAACACGGGTACAAAGTTGTGTGTGAATGTGCCATGGGAGCTGCTGGCCCCGACTCGTCCCGTTGAGTGGGGAAGCCAGCAGTGCCCACCACTCTGCTCTTGGATGTGCTCCAAGGAGCCTAAAATGTCTCACCCAGAAGCAGAGTCAGCCCAAAAGAGGGCATGGGGGAGCAGGAACCTGGGGGTGGGGGTTTGGCACTCACCAGGATGGGGATCCAGGTGGCCAGCTCCTGCCCTTTGGCTTTGGCGCGCTGGAGGCTTTGGGTGGTTTGCTGGTAAGCACGGTGGGAGACGGTGCTAACCAAGGCACCAATCCGGCCCAGGGTGCTGGGAGCACTGGGAGCACTGGGCACACTGGGAACACTGGGAGCACTGGGCTGCTTCTGGGAGACCTTTACTGCTGACCCACGCTTCTCTTTGGGCTTCTGATCTAAAGGCAGAAGAACACAGACAGAAGAGTGGTGGGGGGTTTACATCTTGGTGGGACAACCCTCCTAGGCAGCCCTGCACCAAAATCCATGTGCACCCCATGAGTGAGGTGCCACCCCACATGCAGCCAGCCCTCCCCAGACACTCTCAGAGGGGATTTGGGCATCAGAACTACCTGTTTCTTCATCCTCCTCTGGCAGCAGGTACTCCATCAGCTTCTCCAGCCCTCCCAGGGCTGTGTCGACCCCCGCGGCTGCCATCTGGCTCACCGAGTTCTTCCTTGTGTACCTTGCTGTTGTTTCGACCGTGCTCTTGGTGGCCTCGTAGCCCTCTGCTGCCAGCTCCATGATCTTATCCACGGAGTTGCCAATGGTGCTTTTGGCACTTTGGAGTGGGGAGGAGATGGTGCCCTTCAGTTCAGATGCGAGCTGCCGGCGGAGAGACGAAGAACAGCCCTGCTGGCATACTCAGGGTGGCATGGGACAGCCAGAGGGACCATGGGGACCCCAGCTGTGGCCATGCTAGTAGAAAGCCCCAAGAGGGGCATAACAGCTCTCTCCAGCCTGGGCTGGAGTTAGCTGACAGGGATGGGACATAGGATGCCGTTGACCTACATTTGGAGTGCCCCAACCATCCCATGGGCTGCAGGAGCACCTGGAGGACTCCTTGCCTGGAGGTGCTGCCCTGTTCCTATCACCCCATCAGGCCATCACCATCCAGAAACAAGACCAGAGGAGACGTGCTGTGGGCTCTGCAGAGGGGCTGGGGGGGTCCCAGATTGTCCTACCTGTGACTTACCTTGTCGACAGGGTACTGGAGGGCAGGGATCTTCTCCTCCAGGTGGTCCAAGCCCCGGCAAGCCAGGTTGTTAGCCACAGCGACTGCCTTGGGCAAAAGCATGGGGGTGGGTTAGTAAGAAAAGCTCCTGAGCTGTGCTAGGGGGTCTCACATGCTAGTGCCAGCGCTGCCCCACCAAGGGAGGCTCTGGTGCCTCCCCCCTGCTGTGTCCCCCCCGGTGGATGGACTCACACTGAGGCTCCAGCCTGCGCACTACGGGCTCCATGCTCCACATGGCCAAGGCACTGGCACCCTGCACACCCCGCTCGTAGACCTCGCACACCGAGGCCATGAGTGGGTGGGCTTCCTTGGTGCTGGTGTAGGTCCTCTGGAGGCTTTCGCAGGTCGAGCTCACCACCGGCAGCTGCAGGACCCTCTGCAGCACGTTCTCCTGCACATGGCAGATGGGCATTGGTTAGCCAAGAGCCATTCCCTGAGGAACGCCCCACTGCCTCCACGCTGGTGGCATTTGGTGTGTTGCAGGGACCACAGAGGACCTCAGCTCATGCTGGAGGAGGGCGGCATTTCTCAAACCCTGTCGAGGGTCTCCCAGCTATGTCACATACAACAGCCATGGACAAGCAGGTTGGCTGCTGCTGCTGCAAGAGCAGGGGCACCACAGGCAGTGTCGGAGAGGTGATGGTCCCCACTTCCCCCAACTCCCAAGCCTGACTGTCCAGGCACTCCCTCTGGCTTTCCACCCTGCTCTGCTGCTTCTTTCATCTGACCCAGCCCTTGGACTAGCAAAGTCCATTCTGCCTATGTGACACCTCTGTCCTGTCTATCCTGCCACAGCTGTGACAGGTAAAGGATATGGACCTCAACACACAGAAAGGGAGAGGAGTGGGTCTGTCCTTGATGGCACAAAGGGCTTTGGTAGGAGCCACTGAAGAAGAGGGCACCCAAGCTCTCCAAGGCAGCAAGGCACTGGTGTCCCCACACCCTACTAGCACGGGCAATGTGGGATGCCAGTATAAACCAGCATAGCCGACGCCTGTGTGTGCTGCCAGTGCCAGGGCACGGCTGGAGCTAGGTCCTCAAAGCTGGGCGAGCAGGATAGACCTGCAGCTCCAACCCTCTGCTCCTGCTCTCACCCACTGCCCACCTGGCGAGGTGAGATAACCGAGTGAGATGCTGCAGGCCCAAGGGAGGAACGGGGCAAACATTGGCTCATCTCAGCAGCCATGAGGCAAGCGCTCTTTGGGTTGCACAGGCCAGAGCAGAAAAAAAAGCTGAGCTTTCCCCTGATCACCAGTGGGCGAGAGGCTGAGTTTGGCTTTATGTCCCACTTGTGACCACTACTGGACTGTGAATCTGCATGTTTGATAAAAGCTGTATTGTTTTGTGCTGTATTGTGCTAATTTTGGCTTGACGCGGAGCCAGCCCTCTCACAAATCCCACAGCTCAGCAGTCCCGGGTGCTCTAACTGTTCAGAGCAGTGCTACATCCATAGCAGCGTGAGGGCGGGAGGTTTGGGGTCCACAGTGGGGACACAGGGGAAGGACAGGCACTGCCAGCAGGCATCGCTGAGGGCTCACATTGCCCAGCTTAACCTTCTTGATTCTGACCTATTTAATTTCAAGCATGCAAAAAGTTTTATCCTTTCCCTTTGATGATGCTCTATATTATTGCAGGTAAAGATCCACATAAAGGTAACAGGGAGACAGGTGGGACAGCATCAGATGTGACTCAGACTCATCTGGCAGAGCCGGTACGAGCTGCCTGGTGCCCTTGGCACACCTTTGCCCTCCCCACTCTCCCTCATCCCACACCCACCTTGGCACTTCCATTCTGCAGAGCCTGATTCTTCTTTGCCGTCATCGCGACGCATCCACCTGCAAAATGAAGTTGGGAGCCGCAGAACCCACTGCGAAGGGAGGGCTGGGCTCAGGCTCCCCTCACTCCTGCACCCGCCCCAAGCATGGTGGGGCCGGGAGCTGGGTTGAGACACGCACCTCCCGTGGGTGCAACGGATGTGGCATTGCCTAACTCCTGACTTTTTACCAGTTAAACTGTAAAACCAATGCCTTCACACAGCCCTCCCCTGCTAGTGTGTCTTAACACCCACAGATGCAGACCCATCAGTTGAGAGGCATCTGGTTTGGAGGAGCTGCAGTACAAGGCAGGATAAAGGGCACCGGCAGAGCTGAAAAGCAAACTCGGAGCAATCAGGCGCGGCGGCCTCCCCACCCGTGGTCAGCACCCCCCCCTCCCACACGTCTGCCCTGCAGCTCTGCCGCTCACCATGCCGGCGCCTGTCCCTGCGCAGCCCCAGCTCAATGAGGGGGGTAAAAGCACCGCAGAACACCCATCTCCACTGCTCCTGGCTGGGTGACACCCGAAAGCACACCTCCAGCTCCCACCCCCGGCACAGACCCCCTTTTCTCAGCAGCAGATGAAATTCAGGAGATTTAGGGAGTGCGGGTGATCCCTGCTCTCAGCCTCCCCAGTCCAGCTGAAGTTGTCCCCGGAGCGCCTGATGAGGACAGGCTACTCACCGAGGGACAGCCCGTCCCCAGCAGAGCAGGAGCAGAGGGTGGTGGCTGTGCCGTCCCTTCGCCCGGGTTGTCTGAGAGCAATGCACGGTACCCTGGCCACTACCACCACCAGGCCCCACCTCCCAGTTGCGCGGGTTTGGGAGCTGGCGGGTTGTGGTGGAAACTGGCCAAGGAGCTCCCTGAAGCCACTGTAATTTGGAACAAAGGATGGGAGAGAATCCCCTTCATCGTCTTCCCTGCAGAGTCCAGAAGCTGTGGCACAGCTGGGATGCACTGAGGTTTAATGCCACTCCACCAAGAGAAGATGGAAAGAAGTCACCTTTGGACCTCATCACCTCAAAAGCAACAGATCATGAGCAGCCAGGGAGAAGGTGAAGAGTCAGGCAGGGTTTGTTATGGACAATGAGGAGAGCGGAAGAGATTAAAACCTTCCTCTATTTCTGTAGCCCCTGTTATCCCCTGTGGTGGACCAGGATCTATCCTGTTGGGAAACACAACACAGACCAAGAACACAGTTTCTCCCCAGGAGAGCAGAACAGGGGGACACATCCTGCACAAAACAGTCTAGTTTGGGCAGGTCTGCAATTTCTAAAAGAATCCACCGAGGATTTTGGCAAGGAGGCTTTTAGCTGAGGGTCAGGGAAGACATCGCATTAGGAAAGCTCTAGGCATTTGGAGTAGACAGAAATGGAGGAAAAAAATCAGATTGGAAGTGATCTCTGGAAATTATCTCACCCAGCTCTTGCTCAAAGCAGGGCTACCCTCAAAGCTAGATCAGGCTGCTCAAGGTCTCATGCTCTCCAACGACAAGATTCCCACCTCTCTGGGGCCCAGCTCCAGTGCTAACCCCACTCATGATAAACCATTTTTTCCTTATGTCTAACTGGAATTTCCACTGTTGCAATTTCTGCCCGCCACCTCTTATCCTTGCTCTGTGCACCTCTGAGCAGAGTTTGTGCTCCAGTCTGAGCTGGTATGGCATGCGCTCCATGCCCCTAAATGCCTTATCCTCCTAACGATCATCAAGATGTCTCCTGTGCCAGTGGGGCCACAACAGGACACGGTTCCCCAAACGTAGCCTCTTGAATACTGCATGGAGAGGAATGACGGCTCCCCTTGCCGCACCAGTGATGCTCTCTCTCGCTCCTGCTGCTCTTTCGCAGCCAGCCTGCCTTGCCGCCTGGGAGACACCCTGCCAACTCACATCATAGCTAATCCGTTTGCGGTATTGATGGAAAAGAGAGAAGATGCCACCTGTATGAAGCTGAGATGGGTTTTGGTTATTGATGAAGGACGAGCTGCACTGAAGAAACGAGGACAGCATGGTGGAAAGAGGACAAATGCCGGAGGACAAAGCAATAACCTGAGGGGACCAGTGCAGATGGGAGAACCAGGCAGCCTGCGGACACGAGGCTGCTGCGTGTCCTGGACCACCAGTGCAAGGCAGGGAGACCCTTGGTGTGCGGCTGCGCAGCATCCCTGTGCAGGACACAAAGGTGTGTGCCTGCATGGCCCCCCGCTCCTGGCTGCGCTGCCCGTACGTGGAGGTGGGAGGCTTCCCAGGGATGTGGGAAAGCCACACATGGGAGGAAAATACCCCCTTTCCTCCCAAAGAGCCTGGAGTTTGCTTGCAGCCCAGGGCTCTGTGAAGCTCGCAGGCCTGCCGTGCTGGCGGGGTAGGGAGGCATCTGGACATCCTGGGCTGCCTCCAGCTCGGCGGCGGGGTGAATCGCTGCTCTCCAGACAGCAGGACAAAGGGCAGCTCAAACGTTTGCTCTCTTGGCACCGAGTCATTTTCCAGCCCCGTTGGCCTTGCTAAAAGTGCAGGGGGCATGCCAACCTTCTCTCTGCCTTGGCTGGAGTTGGGATCAACAGGCAGCACAGCCTTTGCCCTGCTGACGCCTTCGCTCATCCCCTCCCCTTCCTCCAGGGGCTGTGCCAGCCCCCAGCTCTGCAGTGCAAAGGTACCACCACCTCCCCCCCGCCGCTCCACCCCACGCCAGAATTACTGCCTGTGTTTCTGCTGGCAACACTGAGAGCTCGCCGGATCAGCTGCGTGCAGGCAAGCAGAGTTTTACAGCCATTAATATACCACGGTGAGGGGATGAGCTAGATCCCCAAAGACCTGCCAGACATCTTTAGACTTCGGTCTGTGAGGGGGCTGGAGAGGTAACTAATTTATTTACATGCCCTCTGGCAGGATCAGCACGCCCTAAACCACTGCTGGCAGATGACTGTCCAGTTTCTTTTAAAGTACTGCCTTCCTGGGCAACCCATTTTACTTACAGTTCAAAAACCACTCACCTGTGTGACTTAATTCTTTGTATTCCTTTGCTGCAATATAAAGCTATTACCTCCTGGATGGATTCAGAGACCAAGTTACTGCCTTCCTCTTGGCAGTCAACCTTTCAGACGCTTGAAGAGTTCTCACACCCTCCCCCAGTCACCTTTCCTCTGCAGAACCAGTTCATTTAGTCCCTCCCCGGAGATGTTGGTTTTCAGACCTTTGATCATTCTTGCCGCTCACCTCGGAATCCCAAATGGCTCATGCATTTCTTGAAATATCAAGCCAAGCATGGTGTTATCATTAGGAAGGCCTTGTCTGTAAGCAGAGTGGAAGATTACTTTGCACATCTCACAGCCTGCTCTCCCGTCAACTGTTCCCATTATGCGACGTGTATGAGACCAGTAATTCAGAAGGAAACTCTTGCTAAAACGTTGCTGAATGCGATGCTTTATACATTGTTCAGTAAGTGACATTTTGGAGCTTCCAAGTTCGCAAAGCTCTTTCTGCAGGGGATAGGAGCTAACAGTAAGTTCAGTTTTAATGGTCATCCCAGCTCCGTCCCTCCCTGTCTCAGTGGGAGACGTTACCCTTCACTCCCTGCCCTGAACAGGCATTTGTTGTTAAACAGCTGCAGCGATTTGTCCTATGATGCTAAGACCCATCCAAATGAAAGGCTGTTTATAGGATACTAAAATGCAGGTGTACCCGTTCCTTTCACCGCACCTGTGCCTACAACGGGCAGAAGGCTCCAGCTCTCTCCCCCAGTTCTCAAGGGCAACTGATGGCAATTAAATGTCATTTAGCTTCAGGGCACGTCACGTGCAGTTTTACCAGGTACCCATAGATGTACTTCATGTTTTTGCAACTGAAATGGACTCATTCGTCCATGAGTCTGATGAATCTGGCTGCCACCTTGCTACTGTGAAAGGACAGCTCTATAACCCAAGAGCAAATACAGGCAATGTCTCCTTAACAGTATTGTCCTTCATAAAATTCAGAGATGGGAGGGAGGATTCCTCCTTTGGCAGCTCTTTTCCCCACCCTTTAAGTCACACACAGACACGGTGTCACGCTCATTGCAGTTTATTGCTTGTGTTCAAACAGCTGTCCTTATTCCAACTGCTGTATTAGAAACAGATACCAAAAAAAAGGCACTAAAAGGATTTTCACCATTTGACCATGATTCTATGGCTTCAGTCACATTATGTTCAGCTACATTAGCTGGAGAGCAGGCAGCCAGTATTAGTGCTTAACATCCAGTAAAGAGTTACTCCTGTATGCTCCAACCCACATCATGTAGAATGGGACAGGTAAGGCTGAGACAGGCTGAAAATTCACTGCCCCAACTCCCAGGTTAAGTCTGTACTTGCTAATCTACGCCAGTCCCTACAGGAGAAACATCACGGCTTTGCAGAGTGTTTGCCTCGCACAAGGGACGAAACCACCCTTCTCCCTCGGCAGGGCACAGGGAGGTGTAGCTGGCTAGGGCCCACGTCGCTATGTCAGTCCTTTCCCCTTTACCTACAAATTACAAGGGAAAAAGAGGAATCAGTTTCCAAACCAGTGAAAGAAATATTTTGTATCCAAGAGCTCCCCTGAGAGGAATTCAAAACACATTTTTGTTTGACAATGAAATTCTGTAGACAAAGGGTGGCCAAGCCTCTGCTGCCAGATCATCAAGACTCCTCTTCCTTCCTTCCAGGGATTGCTACACAGAGGGAAAATGATCAAACCTGACCAAGAGAGGGATGGGCCCTGCATTGCCAGGAGCTCAAAGGCAAATGGAGTAAGGAAACAAAAAAATTCCGTTGTTAAAAAGGAGAGGAAGCCCTTGAAGACAACATACCCCATACATAGTGCTCCATTATGGTCTGAACTGCCACCATGCTCTACTTTTAATGGTATTCAGTTCCATACTAAAAAGAAGAGCTGCTGCAGGCCACATTTGGTCTTCAAGCACACTTAATTATCCCGCCCAGCAACCTCTTTTTTTCAAACACTTTATTGGCAGGCTAACATTTTAGATTCAAACTGGAAGTAATTCCAAGCCTGACCACAATGACTTAAGGTAAATGGGGGCACTGCCTACTCAATTCCACAGCCTTCTCCTTTTAATAAAGGAGACCAGCACCTTTTAATTTCTGTTTTCAGACAGCATCAGAAATCATAAGAGAGTACCTTGGTCCAGGTTAGAGTCGTCTCTGTTCACATCTGACAGATTAAACAAGGAGTCCTTGCACCAGGAAGTAGCAGAACACATAGGCCTAACTCTGATGAAGAAAAATGATAATTTTATCTCCTATATAACATGCAATTATTTCTCAGATGGTGTCAGAACTGGTACTCTGCAAAGTCAGGAGCAACAAAGACTGAATGCCATATAACTGTTAGACAGCTTGACATAGCATTTCTTCCTTAACCTAGATTACACTGCCAGGCAATCATTCCCAGCAAGGTAAATGATGAGCAATAATGCAGTTGCAGGGCAAACATAAGGCATTTTCAAATGGTAGAACCCATTCAACCAGTGAGGGAACACACAAGAAATCTTGTGGTCATGAGAGGGAAGGATAGGGAGGACCAGACAGGAAAATCTAAACCATGAATGCCCAAATCCAGTAATAAGCTTTTCTTCTCACAGGCGATTCTGACATCGTCAAGACCGATGCCATTTCCTTCTCTCTGGGACCTTACACAACTAGAAACACACCCTCGCAATTTTTCTGACTCAATGAGCTCCTCTCTCCTTAACTGCAGGTTCCAAAGCTCCTCATTAAACTGGAATTTTTCACATAAAATTAAAACAGCAAAACAAGCTCCTTATCACAATATGATTAATGGAAAATTGTTGCACTTGGAATAACAAGAGTTTGGGAGTTAAGGTGCATGTGTAATGGGAAATTTAGTGCTTATGAGTGGTTCCAGATTCACAGCTTTGGAAACCCAGTTCCCTACAAATCACAGCATCATCAGCACTCAGACAAGCTTTTCCCACACACTGTCCTTCACCAAAACCCTCAGCCATGGCCTACTGGAGAAGTCAGACTCGGTTGCCAGTGGTTCTTGGCTCACATTATTGAAGGAAAAGAAGAAAGTGCTGATTTCCTGAGACACAAGTTGGCACTCAGTAGACTACAGATCCAGTGTCACCAGTGCATGCTACACAGAGATCATGGGAAGGTCAGGTCATACCACTCTTCAGTTACCATCAGACTGCATTGAAACCACTGCGTACAGAGAACAGGATCCACCAACCCAAACCCATCAGAACACTCGTACCTGACTTAAGACGCTTTAACCGCAGCTCCTAACTTGTCTGAGCCCACTACAGAAAATCTGACTGTAGGAACCTTTGATTGCTGAATTCTAGCTTTCCAGTGTAAACACCATCAGTTAGGAGTCATATACCTCTTACAGTTGTCTATGCAGCTATTTCACAGCCCTGTATTAAAATATAGCAACATCAGTATTTCCTTATCGAGCAGCCATGTTCCAAGTCTTGTTTCTGTTTGTGAAATATTACTCTGCCTTCTCCCATCTCCAATCCATCAGGGAGAGTGTCATAGCACCAAACTCATCTGCAAAGACTCAGGGAAGGAAAAAGGGTAGAATTCACTTGTTCAGAGGACAAAATTAATCTTGAGGTTACTGTGGGACATGTTCATTTTGAAAGTGCCACATGGAGGATAAAAACCTATCGGAGGATCAAAGCTGTTGGCTCGCTGCATGCTGTGCAGCTCCTTCTATGTCACTGTTTCAGCTTCAGATGTGGACTTGATAATGTGAGGATCCCCACCAGGGATGAGAGGATGCCACAGAAACCAATCACGCCTGGGTTGGTCTTGTAGATCCCTAATGTATCCAAAGGACCTGAGAGATCACAGAGATTCTTCACCAAGTCCAGCAGCAAAGGAGGATGTTTTTTCAGTATTTGAAACACCAGGAGGAGAAAACTGTGCAAATCATTGTATTTCGCACAGTTTAGTTCCTGACTATGTTTGTCCTGGAAGGAATTATTCTTTGTCTTTTCTTCCTGTACAGCTTGTTCCAGCCTCCAGGAGATCTCATACCAGTCCCTGGCTAGATTCATCAGGAGTGAGAAGTAGTAACACTTGGTAGCCCAATTCCGCCACTTCAGCTGATCGATGTCAGGTTGGAACCCAATACTCTTCAACCACAGGACCGCATCGCAGATGAAGTAGAGGGCACGGGTCAGGTTGGAGGCTGTAAGGCAGACGCGAGGAACCACATCTGGCAGCTGTGTAGTTCTCCTGGCTGCTACCAAGGCGTGTACCATGTTGCCCAGTCTGAACACTGCAAGAAACCCCACAAAGGTTAGCATGGCAGTCTTCACTGCAGAGACACAGCCCTACCCAGGACAGCTCAGCATGTCACTGTCCACATGTGCTTTTAAAAAACTTAGTGGGCTTTGGGCATTTGTGTGCTTAAGCATTTTCTTCTCACAGCATGAGGTGTTAGTATTAGCGAGGAAAGGGGTGTAAACATCTCAGTTCTGCCCTGCACCAGCCCAGGACCTACACACAAATTTTGTCAATAGCCAGGACTTGCAGTCTTCTCCTGCTGCTCTGTTCTCAGTGCCTGGGTGCCCTCTGGACCAATATCACCCACAGCTCTGAATGAGTCGGTCTCAGCAAAAAGTGACACAAACAGAGCCTCCAATTTCATCTGTACGCTGCACTGTATTTCACCTAACTCTGTGCACAGGAGATGTTACTGCACTAATCCCGTTGCAACCATGAGCTGCATCTTTCCTAAGCTTCTGTGAAAGCTGGTGATTCACACGCCGAGCACACTGAGACTAAAGTCCCTCCTCAGCCATGAATTTGTGCCTGCAAACAGGAACAGTGTATTCGATTGCAAGCTATAATATATGGCAAGCCTGATTTCATCTGCTGCACAGTTTAGGTTTCACCTCGTGAATATTAATACAATATTATGCAAAATACTTTTCAGAACCTGCTGCACTGTCACAGTGACAGATGTTGGCAGCAACCAAGCTTAGTGGAGCTGCAAGAGTCCTGAATTTAGGCCTGATGTCTATTAGAGATTTGTTTAGCAGAAGCAAGAGAATTACAGCTATGCTGATAAACCAGCTGGCGTCTCCGCTAGGAATTACCATGCTCTGGAGCTAAATGGAGTAATAAAACAAATCCATGGTAACACGTTAAATTAGAATATTTGCCTCATATATTGGAGTTGTTCCAGGATTGAACAATTGGTAAGTAGGTGCAAGATCAACCTGAAAGCAAGCAATACAACCACAGCAACAGCGTAACCATAATGGATGCAACTGTGACAAAGAATGAAGCAATGCATATGGTTAGACTATGAGAAAAGTAAGGAAGGGCGTATGATTTAGTAGAGTAAAAATGCTGAAGAAAATTAATATGCGAAGTAGGATATAAAAAGCCATATTGAGGGATAGTTCTTCAGAGGTGATTTTATCGGGATGATGATCTTTAACGTTAGGCCATCTCAACCCATTACGTGGAAGGACTAACAAGAGCGCAGTAAGCCAGCCTTGCATCGTAACTCAACGGTCTGTCCTTGAACAGAGATGACACCTTGATCTCTGCAGCAATAGCTGACTGTTACTTACTTCTAGTTGTCCCAGCGATAATTCACATTGCTTAATTGGAGAGGAGGCTGGGGACATTTATTAAATGTCTATTTGGCCCTATCTAGCCTGGCAAGCCAAGGCAGGGATAAGTTCTACTGACAACTTTGTGAATATACTCAAAGAGCATTGCTTTGTGGCTCAGGATAAGTCAACTACAGAAGACGCAAGGCCGGGAACTGTTTTGCTGGAAGGAGCAAGTGAAGAAGGACTTATCCCCCTAGACACCAGGTACTTACTTTTCCGGCCAGAGCTCATGCTAGATTCCAACTGCTTGAGTTTCATTACCAGCTTCTCTGTATCAGCCTTACGCTCTATTAAATAGCTAAGCAACATGCATGTGTACTGAATGGCTCTGGAATGGAAAAAACGAGGAAAACGGTACACAGGTGAAACACGGACGATCCACAGGAATGGCAGC